GGTGAACCTTAAAGTGTTTGTCTAGGTCACAAGATTCAAACTACGAATGATTAAAAACTCACTAATATATATGCCATGATATAACCAACTTTGCTGATTCAAAAGTAAAACAAAATAATGAGACTAAACAACTTTATTGTTTGATGATTGTGGGGAGCAAAATCAATCCCAAAACAGATGAACAATCATGAAGTTTCACTGATAAAGATGGGACACCAAATTGCGCAAACCCCAACATATTATTCTGAAGCCAGTTCATGGCGGAGGCTTAAACAAAGCATACACTATTAATCGGAATCACCAAAACAACCCAAGTTTTAAATTTGCTAGGTATAGACATTTTATATTATGAGTCTTTCAAACTTAACCTTTGTTAACTACTTTGAGGTTTAGTTTAAACATTTAAAAGTGATAATGTTGTATTAAAAATAAATATTTATTATATTTTTATATTTTTAATATAATAAAAATTCTTATTTTTAATAAAAATATATCACTTTTAAATATTTAAATTCAGCGAGGGTAATAAATTCGAAATTAATTTTAATATAATGAACAGAGTTGAATTGAACTTTAACCGTTTGGTCAAATATAGAGTCTTCAATACAATCTCAATAACTATTTTATTAATCAAGAAATAAACTTCCCAGAGAAAACAGGTGTGTCTAACTGTTATGCTTAATTGCATAAAGAAACAAAGAAAATAAAGCTGATAAGAAGAGTATATAGCAGCAGTTAGGGAAACAATTTAGATAAGGTTATGATTATTGTGGATAAGAACTACAGCTGTGACAGGAATCAAGAAGTGGCTAATTATTGAGCTCAACTGAACCCAATAACATCTGGAGATAACAAAGTTGCCAAAGATGACTAGAAAACAATGTTTAACTAATGTTACTCAATCTTAAGCATCAACAAAGGGTCAAAAACCAAAGAAGAATACCCTCAATAAGGGAAATTTGAGTTTAAAAAGGAAGAAATTGAAATGCTAAAAAAGAAATTATATAAAGTTCTCACTAATCAAGTGGATATAATTACATGCTTTGCACATTTGTCTACCGATCAGGATTATCTATCATATATGAATTCGGTGATTTTAATGACACTATCGTTTTCATGTTAGGGTTTCATCAGCTTCGAAGATTCTGTTTAGAATAACCAATTTCTTTAACTAAAGCAGCACAGCTACATGAATTAAAACTTCACTTGCTTTCTTTCATGCTTTGACACAAATAAGGAAGGAAAAAAAATATTATTTTTTATTTTCGTAGTCTTTTCACTTTTAATTACAAAGGTATTACCTTATTTTCATTCAATATTTTTAAATATTTGAAAAAAAAAACACTGAAAATAACTTTTTTCCTATTTTCTTTATTTTCTGTATAAATATTTGAAAATAGAATAAAAATCACGTGATGATTTTATAATTAAAAGTGAAAAAAATAAAAATAAAAATAAAAAGTAGTTTTTAAATATAACAGCCCCCAAACTTATACTCTTCTATTTCATAAAGTAGAAAGTGTCCTTTTCTAATCTTTGTGTGAATATTGTACATAATGAATTTTGTGTCTAGCTATTAATTAATGTGTAACTGGGATAAATTGATATGCTAAGCTTGGAATTTATGAGTAAGAATCTCTAAATTTCTAAAAATATTCTGGCAATTGCTGCATTAGTGAAGAGAAGGAAAATGTGAAGGGAAAAGTTGGAGCCAGATAGGTGGCATTTCCTAAGAGAAAAATATAAAAGGGTAGAAAAAATAGCTACAAAGGTGAATCTTGTAAGCCTTTTAAGATGGAAATGGGCCCTTGAATAAATCATTAGAACAAACACTCAATCTCATTCAGTGTCTATTCACTTTAAAGCGGCAATCCCAAACAAAAGGCCAATAATTTACAAAGGGGATTTTAAATTTTGGAATTTTTCCAAAATGTCATACTACACTTCAACAACAATCATATCTTATTTGCAGCAAGTCAAAACTTTGTTCTTTCACGTACATACCTTTAGAAAATTGGAAATCCTATGTGGCTATGTGTGTTATGCATCTCATAGGATCTCAACAGAGCTTGATTTTGTTTTCTACACGCATCAACTAAAAACACCAACATGAAGAATGTGTCAGCTTAATGGGGTTAGTTTTGTACAACATACAGTTTATGATCGTGGATCACAAAGAATATATCATAATTTTGCACTATATTTATGCGCCCTGATCCTTTAGGAAAACCCACAATTTCATAAAACAAACTTTATGCTAGTGTGAGCTTTTCTTGTTTTGTTAGAACAGAAAAAGGAAGGACCTTCTTGTTATGGACCTGATCAATTAACCTATTTCTACTACAAATAATAGAAGAAAATGGTACCGAATATTGATTGTTGAATAACGTAAGACAGATAACTCCTTTCATTAAAAAGTCACAAATCTCCTGTGTGAGTTATCTGTAATTAGCTAGTGACTTAGAAACATGCAAAACTTGTTGCCAATGAAGAACTTTGAGGTTATTATGACTATTTTTCAACTTATATTATCAGCGCTATGTCAATTGCACGTAACTATCTCTTGCATGAATACCACTCCTTTCTTTTTCTTTTTTTTCATCAAATCAATGGATTACATCTCCTTAGGTAATTGTAATTTTAACAACTTTTGTATTAAGTCTGCATTTTTATTCTTGAAAAGTTTGGTTAACATCAGTTTGATCTTTGAAAAAGTAGGTGATATAATTCAATTCCTCATAAAATATGACAGAATAATATTTTTTTTGTCCACAAACTATGATATTGAGGGACTTATAAAATTTTCATTATTAAGAGCTAAATTGATGTTAACTTTTATATATTATTTAAGGACGACTAAGTTTTTCTTTTAAGCAAAAAACTTCAGTATATTGAACACTATGGACCGAAAACAAAACCATAAATGAATAAAACGACACATTACATAAGAAAACAAAATATGTAACTTAAGTAAGAATTGTTTAAGGATTAAGTAACATCTTACTCTTTTGCAATTTGGTAACTCCAAACACGTTTACTTGCGGGAGCATTTTCCCCCCCTTAATGAATGAGTTCAGATGTTCTGTTGTAAGATATAAAGAATTTGGTACAATTAATAAATAATTTATCACACTGAGTGGCATAATATATATATTTCACCAAGTTGAATTAAACTTTATTGCCGTTTTATTTTACTGCACGAAATATTTCACGATTTTGTCACAGAAAGGCAGATTAATGTGAAAGGGTGCATGTTGTGTATGTAACTCTAGGTAATGGATAAGGTTGTCTACTAGGTTTAAACTTATCTCATGAGATAAATAACTCTATTTTAGGTAGATAATGATATCTTATTTATAAAAAAAGAATTAATAAATTTTTAATAAAATATTTTAATTTTATTAGTCTACTTCAGATTATGTTATTTATCCTATCAGATAACTTAGACAAACCCTTATTTATTACATTAAAATGGCACACTTTAGTATGGGATTCTAACACAGGAAACCCGCGGTGGCATTAGAAACTGATGCAAACAAATGTGAAATTGGAAACTAATCTGATCTAAATTCAATTTTCCATGGATTAACAGTAATTTGATTTTTATATACAATATATTTCAGTAATTGTTTTGGGAAATTTTTTTTCATAGGGGGTGTCGCATGCAAGAAATTAATTAATAAAAAAATATTATACATTGTGTTTAAAATATCATAAAAATTACAATTAAATTGATTTTTTTATTAATAAAAGTTGAATGGAGATTAATTTGAGAAGGGGACAAATAATGAACGATACTTTAAAAATTTAGAATGTTAACCATTTTACACGTAACATGTTTGATTTCACGATACCATATAAGTAAATTTACGTTTATTATAATAATATTATTTATAATTATGTTTACAAACTTTTCCATAATCATATATATCTTTTGATTTATTACTAAGCCAGTGAAATTTTATTATGTAACATTAACTACTATTTTAAAAGTAATTAGCATTTATTTTAATCAAATTCAAAAGTTTATTTCCCGAAATGCTTGTGTCAGCATAAAATTCTACGCATCTTTGAAATAGAGGGTTCAAGCCAGTTTCCTAAAAAGACGTGCCCTTTGACAAACCTTCCCTTACATTTCTGACCTAATTCTACAAAGGGCAAATGGAACCGGTCATGACCATGCAAGGCAAAACACAGGTAATTTCAAAGATTACAACGTGATTGCTGGCAGTACACAACATTGTCTAATAGGAAATAACTTTAAAATATAATTTAGAAGTTTATACAAATCCATTTTCTCATTTAAAATATGTCTAATCTTCTTCTTTTCTTTTTAAAAAATTAACCCTCAAATAGAAATTAAAAATGTCAAAAAACTTAAAAATAATGGGTTAAATTATACAAGACTGTGAATCACCACCAATGCGTTTGTCTATGCCTAAACATCATGGGTGTGACATTGGCATCGTTTTAAAATCACACGCTGTAGACTCTGTACCCGTAATTTACGTGTAATTTTTTTTTTTTAATAAAAGGTGCACATTTGTTATTATAAATCTAATTGTGATTAATAAACAATAATAAAAGTAATTCAAAAACTAAGCTTACGTTTTATCATTTAATTAAACATAACACAACAACGACTATGACTCTTAATTAAATTTTGGCTGTTGTCTCAATTGCAGTTACGTTATAATTGTTTAATCTTTAAAACTGAATTTAAGTATTTAAAAATAGTATTTTTATTAAAATATAAATATTTATCACACTTTTATAACTTTAATACAATAAATGTTTTTTTAATAAAATTTTAATACTTTTAGTGTTTAATCTCAATACTAAAAATTGAGGCTCAATTTTTTTATATTGTGAAAAATTATAGATAAATGCAACTGCAATAATGATTGTAATGCCATTGCAGAGATCATAAAAACCTTGATGTTACGGCTGAATTACGATTCTAGACTGCAATATAATTGTCTATGCATCAACTAAAGAGCCTAGGAAGGAATGACAGAGCAAAGCTCAATAGACCCATAATCAAGAAGCTCCTCAATCATTTGCTCTATATGATCATCTTCTAAAGGCTTGAATTGTGGAGGACCATTTTCCACAGCTTTAACATTTTTAACAACCCTGTTATTTCCCTCTGATTCTTGATCCTGCTCTGGGGGTCTCTTACTTTTCACACTAAAGTTGTTTGTTGTGGTTGTGGAGAAGGAATTTGGTATTGAATTTGTTCTCTGAGCCTCTGTTGCTAAAGATTGCCTGGTCATTTGCAAAGAAGCCATGTAGCACCTGTGAAGTTTAGCAGTCAAAGTTGCTGAGAGAAGCTTTGAATTAGAAGAATGAGACATATTTGGGTTGAATGGAAAGTTTGTCCTTGCCCTGGCACCACACATTAGCCTAGCTGCTTCATCATAGGCTCTAGCAGCATCCTCAGCTGTTTCAAAAGTACCAAGCCATATCCTTGTCTTCCTACACAACCAAACCAAGCTTAATTTAGTTTGTCAGAAAACTTCTGGACCAATTTTATTCAATATTTTGTTATTAAAAATATTACATTATTATAATTTTTAACAAATACCTTAAAAAACATTGGTTAACAAGACTTGTAAAGAGAGGAGATTATTTTTCTAAAATTAAGCATTACAAAGATGCACTAACATTAACATTTGTGAAAGTGATTGTGGTTAATTTGTGAGAAGTTGCATGGGAGTGGAAGCTAATAAGGTGGCACTTACAATATGGGGTGGCGAATTTCAGAGACCCAAGAGCCCCAATGCCTTTGTCGGACACCTCGAAATCGTTGCTGTGGTCTGGCCATGTTGGGGAAAGAAATGGGTTCTTTTCAGAAAGTGTGTTTTGTGAAAAATATATGTGAAGTTGAGTGACACCAACTTAAGGGGGAAGCAAGAAGAGATGGTGGGTTTTTGTAGTTGGGACTTGGGATTGTTCACAAACATGGCACTCTTTTTCAAAACAACAATCTGTCAACCAGTTAAGCATTTGGGTCCCACAGGGATTTTCCCAATTTGCAAATCATGATTATTCAATAAGTATTTCAATACACAAACAATTCCCATGTCTCATTCATCTTTGTTACTTTTGATTTATAGATACTTAGGAGTTGTTTCATTTTATATTTTTTTATTTTTAATTATAAAAATATTATCTTTTTTTATGTTTTTAAATATTTATGTGAGAAACAGTAATTTCTTTTATTGTTTTCTATATATATTTTTTAAATTGTAAACAAAATAAAATAAGATAATTTTTAATTAAAAAATAAAAAATATTTTCTCATATTAAAATATATTTTTTATTTTAATACAGATTCTCTCTCTTTATTAATTAAGAAAGATTTATTATAAGATTATAAGGTGAAAAAATATATATATCAAACGCAAAGTTTGTTTAAGAGATATGAATGTTGTCTGATATAAAATATAATCACAGATTCTTCTCATGTGAGTAGGGAACGAATTGTAGATAATGACTTGTCTTTAGTCTCCTATGGTGTAAAGTTTGAATTAAAATATCTTTTGTCAACATATCATTATCAAATACACTAAACACAAATTGCCTTAATGAAAAAAAAAAAAAAAAAGAGGCACTCTAATTGGAGCTTTTGCTGAACTTTATCAGATGATATCACATTTTAGAACATTGGCTGGACCATTCGGAGACCAAGATAGCGATCATACGTTGCAGATTGTTGTTCGTCTGATTAAGTGGTATGTCACACAACAGACATCAATTAATGTCCTTTACCATTGCATATTCTTTTTATTTTTCTTAAGCAAGATCACTTTAAATACCATACACAATTATATTTATTGAAATTTACACTAAGATTAAAAGTTAAGTTAGGACAAATTTCTGCTAGTTAATAAGTTAAGTATTTTAATTTTTTAAAAATAAATTACATAAAAATTATATTATACAAATATATTCTTTAATATTTCTCATTTTATAATTGGGTCAATCCCAATTTGGAACACAGGGTAAAAATCAAAGATTCCTTGACCATCATCATAATTACCCTACCATATCAAATATTTTAATTGAACCTTTATCACTATTATCACATCACAACCCCATCAGAGCAACAAAACAGTTTCCTCTATTTATTATTTCCTGTGGGGATGGGGGCATATGATGAAGTGTGCTAGTCATGGAGATAAAGCAAGGTTCTTGCATGGGAGAAGCCATAAACAATTATACTTGGCAATTTTTTTTATTAAACAAGGTGGCTGAATTTTATAAATTATGTCACCAGCTTTTATGCACCCTCAAGCAAGTTGAGAATTTTGTTATGCATTTTATTTATTTATTTTGAGAGTAACATAAAGCTTAGTGCTTAGGATTGTTGAAAGGGAACACACACGTATGCTGCTTAACATGTGTAAGGACATTACTAGAAATTCAAGATTTTGGTTGGTATTATGCCCATGTCCTTCATTTAGCAACTGTTCACCCACGAGTGAAGAACATTAATTATGCTACATATTAATCTAATTAAACACACAAAAAATGAAATAAAATTATGATTCTAATCTTATGACTCAATCTTTTATCGTATCATTCATCTTATTTCACATTTCTTACTTTTCTCTTCTTATTTCATTTCTAGTTAAAGAAAAAGTTGTAAAAAACAGGAGTAGGAATAAAAAATATTATAAAAGTGCAAACATAATATAAAATAAATTCACGATACACAAATCCAAAAAATAAAAAATTTCAAGGTAAATTACAAAAACCCACTTCTCTTCTCTCAGCTGAATAAAGGGTTAATTTTTGGTCACTTTCATATCTTCTGTCTCATGTGTTAAATTACAAACGTAGAATTCATTATGCAAGTTGACTGCGAGGAATAAAGTCTTGCTTTCTGTGTGCCACGTGTAAGTAACTAAAGACAATCGAGCGGTTGTTAATGATGTGCTATTTATATGAAGAATCACTTTTATTATTAATGAGTGGTTTTAAAAAATAATTAAATAATAAATAAAAATTATTAAAATATATGTGAAGGTTAGCATAAGTTAACATATTAAATAATTCACAAATAAGTTAATAAAATGATTTGTTATAGTAAGTTTTAAAAATTCAAATATTTAAAAATTAATTCTTATTAAATTTTAGAGATAAAGGATATTAATCTCTTAGATATTTAAAAATAGGTCTTTTTTAACGTAATTTTTTTAAGATTAAAAAAGAATATAATTGTTTATTCACGTGAAACTATATCATATTATCTCAAACTCACTCTTATCTTTGATTTTGAAGAAGTCAAGTAATTCTCTCTTGTAATTTTGTAGTAGAAGTTTGTTCAATTTCTCTTTATTCTATTTTAATTCTTTCTTATTTTTCTTCCTTATCAGTATGCAAATTCGTTTCTCATATCTACCCTAAACTTACATAACCATTCTTCCTTTCAATTGTTATACTTTCAATTGTAAGATTTTCTTATTTGAAACATTATATATTCATCCTAATTATCTTAAAAATCATCATTATTGTTTGATCAGAATAAGAGTAATGACTAAAGAGATTTTGTTGAACCAGAAAAAATGTATGAATTCATTTTGCAATAAATTTAGCTTAAATTAGAGTTATCTGCTTAAGCTAAATTTAGACAAAGATGAATCTAATTTGTTCGTCAAATTTATTTAAACTAACACATATTCGCTTAAGCTAATTAAAGACCGTGATGAATTTAAATTTTTCATCAAAATTAGCTTAAGCCACAACCCATGAGCTTAAACGAATTAAAGACATATATGAATCTAACACACATTCGCTTAAGCTTATAAGTTATGGCTTAAGTTAATTTAAGACAGAAATTAATCTAAAATTCTCATTACAATTCACTTAAGTGTATAATTTAGTTAAAGCAAATTACAATTCAGTTAAAGTGATATCTCATTTAAAAACATTAATTATTTTTCTATAATTAGACTTAAATCAATGTTATGATCAATCACAGTAATAAAATATACTTGGCAAACACAAAGTTGCAAATATTTCATTGTATATGATAATATTTTATGTTATCGGCTTTTGAGGCAAGAATATTGTTTAATTGAATTTAACTTTTAATTGTCATACATCTCCTACATCATGTTAGTTTCTAAAAGATTAATCATCTTATTTATATAGGGTGACATGATTTGGATTTTGTAAAAAGTGTTCAGAACTTGATAAATGGAGAATAATATGAGCAATGTAGCAGGAGGTAACTCGTACAATAAAAGTATTACTAATAATGATTTCACTTATCTTTGATTATTTTCTTAGAATATGAAATGTCATAACTTAGTATGGTTTCTGTAATGAGTTGGGTGTAAGGTTACACAATCCCAATACTACAAGGCTGTTCTTGAATTAGCGAAGAATGTGTGTGCAATTTTGCAACTTACTATTACATTTTTTTATTAAGCTCGTACATATTCGCTTAATCGCATATCATACATAAAGCCTTGAGTATAGAAAACAATCCACTTCAAGCAGTTCATCTCCACTTCAGCGATTCATATGTAGCTTACCTCTTTACTCTATTTCAAAACAATGCTTAATTTTCACACAAGCATCAGCTAATATGTTCTGCATAAGCATATATGGTAACTTTAAGGTTCAGTTTAAACTTATCTTAAGTGCGCTATTTTTAGCTTAAACATGATAGTTTTAGCTTAAGTTTGATATTTTTACTTTAACCTAAAATTTATTCGCTGAAACTCTATTTAATTTGCTTACGTTGGACTTATTTTGTTTAAGCTATATTTATTTTGCTTAAGCTTTAACTTGTTGGTTTAAGCTAGTATTATAAGCGATACACAATCTGTTTAAGTCAAGGACGTAGTAGCTTAAGCTTTATATCTAAAATTTAAGCGATATATGTTTAGCTTCAGTGAAATAGCAAGTCTCTATCATTTACATAAGCGAGATAATAAATTATTAACTACTTTATTTTATGAACTCATTCTTATCTTTACCTAAACTATATATTTAAATTTAAAAGTAAAATATATTTTTTCCTATTTGTTAATCACTATAAAACACAAGTAGTCCAACTAAATGCAATTTAATTAATTTGATATTATGTTACTTAGTTAAGTCATATGTTACAGTCACAAATCTCAAACTCAAAATAGCATAGTATAAAAAGTATATTTGTTTTGTGAATTTTAATCTTTTTATTTATTATAATTTTAATTTGGACATACATTTTAATTTTAAAAGTTGACATTAACCCAAAGAATGTATTTGGTAAAGCTTTTCAATATTCAAAATCTTAATTAAATAGCTTAAATGACTATTGTATAACACATTTTTCATTTGTTAATGGTATAATTAGTATTTTTTACAATAGTATTGAACCTTTTTTACAATTTCAGCAATAGTATTTGAAAGCTTCAGACCCGATTTTGAAGGTAGTTTAGATGTGCGATCGCTTAGGGCTCAAGCTTAAAAAAGGCCCAAAATAAAAATTGTGTCATACTTTTACTTGAAAAAAATTTCAGCTCTTACAATTTATAGTTGGAAAAAATAGAAAAATAAAAAAAACTTTTTAATTTTTCACACTTCACTTGCTATAAATGTAGTCGATTCATTGACCTTTGTAGACTCAAAACTTTATTTAATTCCAAAATTTTACTATTCTTAATATTAAATCTCATGGAGAATTTTAGTTTTTTTTCAAAAAATTAAATAGTTATTGAGTTTGTCAAATTTGCAGATTGTTATTTAAATGTTTTAATCAATTATAGAATTTTTTTTACGGTCTCAATGACTATATCATCAACTGAAAGAAGTTTTTTAAAGTTAAAA